CCTAAGCTACGCAAAACGTATTAATAATCGAATTAACTATTAATATAAATTATGTTTTCCGAGGACTATGAAAAAGGTCCTCGGAAGGTGTGTATGTCCTCGGAAGTAGCTATATATCTGTATTTTTGTCCTCGCAACATATAACAATCCAAGCACACACACACACACACATACACACACGCACACACACACACACACACACATACATACACTCATGCTGAACGAAACCTACTCTAGACAGTCGCCGATTGTTAGAAAACACTTGCAATTCAGGTTGCAAGCTACTGAATAGGTGACAGTGGCTTGAGTGGGATAATAAACATATAGAAGAATAGTTATCGCAAAAATACATGTTGTCTATTTAAAATTTATCAAAAAACAACTACTAATATTGATATCCTCAAGTTTCCCAGAATAAAGATCAGTTCAAAAGAACGGATTATATAACTATATAATATATAGTAGATAATATTTTATGTGTTCTACGCAAATATTCAAAATTGCTAGACGTTTCGAGCTATGGCCCTTTATCGAACGAATAGTAGAAGAAAATAAATATATGACTGATTTTCTAAACACAAATACTATACTATTAGTGAGTCACCTTGGCATTAACAAGATATTCATATGTAAATTAATTATGACGTAGTTAATGAGCACCAAGAATATATCGAAGTAATAATATAATGACATCTGCACTCACCCCCCCCCCTCCCCTTGGGGTTATATCATATACGTGCCACATGTCAAACCACAGATTATGACTATATACATTGGAATCAAGAATACATCGCCGATACAGGAAAACAGTAAATATAATGAAAACAATAATGTTCCTGGGGGTAAATATATGCACGTTAAGCTAAATTAGATTTGCTGATTCTTGTCATACAATGTGTCAGTTTGATTTTCTCATGGTGATACGAGTAGATACGACGTGTTTATCGAAAGCTGAATACAAATTGACAGTTTAATTCTATACGTTAGATTTTAGATTATCATGCAGGTGATAATCCGATGAGAGAGAAACCCGCAGGTGTGATTTCTTCAGTGGACCCAGCAGACAGAGCCGTGATTAATAGACAGTTGAGTCGAAGCATAATATACTAGGCAGAATTTGTTGAAATTACGTGACAACAAAACAGATACTTTTTGATTGGTTTGACTGGCGTTAAAGTTAGATAGCCAATCGGGCAAAATTTTGTGAATAGTTTCGACTCTCAATAGATTGGCATTACAATACACAATTGATTGTTTACATAACAATCAGTACGTATGAAGTATGTGTATGGTGTCATTTTCTGTACATTTGTGACTATCATTCCGATCGAAGTGTACTTTACATTAGGGAATATGGATATGAGAGACATTGCAAAGGACGTTAAAGACTTTATAATACAAACAACAAAATCGTTATGCAAAGTTTATTTTATCTAAATTTCGGATTTTCGATAATTTAGTAAAAATGCCGTACATGCAGGACGGAATGTCATTAGGAATCACAATTTATGTTGCAATAATATATAGTAATATTTAAGCTTTAATTATTGCTTGGAAGATATTCTTTTTATAATGTCAACGGAGTATTACCTTCATTCTAAAAAAATGTTGAAATGTATCGCCAAACGTTAAAAGGATTTCATGCATACCAAATAATACCCCAATACATGAAAACCGTAAGGAACCCACAATGCATTTGGATGACCCATAATGCACTGGAAGACAGTTTGGTTAAAAAAGAGAAATGATATAGAGTAATCATTTTAGAGTGATCGGTGTTCGAAACGCATACATCACAAGCACTATAATAGGGACTCTTTTGCGCATGTCTGAAGCAAGATGAAAATCGGTAATTCGTGTAAACAAAATCACACTACCCGGTGGAAATGAATGTTTTTAAAATCTCATCCGAATCATGACTTCATCAAGACAAACTGATACGAACATTTAATTACTGATTGAAAGCGTTTTTTTATGTTTTTACAATAGAAGTCATTCTAATCATTATCGACTAGGTAAAAGAATTACAGTTAAACACAGACTATTTACCGTATATATAATATCAGTGTTACGTACTCAATCACTCCGTCAACACACCGATATTAATAAATTAGAAACCCGACTCATATATCAAACATGACATAAACCTAGAATATGTTGAACTACATGATCAATTATTGTAAACACATTTAGAATAGACAAGCATTACAAGACCAGTCAATATAAACTGTGAATCATGTACGCAGACGTAATAGTGCCATAATTAGAACGTTAATAATGTTTTCTCTATTAATAATGTTAATTAATAACCAGTATAATAAATAAATAAATAAATAAATAAATAAATAAATAAATAAATAAATAAATAAATAAATAAATAAATAAATAAATAAATAAATAAATAAATAAATAAATAAATAAATAAATAAATAAATAAATAAATAAAACTGAATGTGATATTATGTGAATTAGTCTCGTGTTGTGAACATAAAATGTAAATATAAATTATGTGATACCGTACAAAGTTGATTCATCCACTCTGAAGAAATTTCATTCCCACATTTTAATTTGATTTTTGTGATGTTTTATCCTGATATCACAGAATGTTGAATAGAAAATTATATTCTGCTGAAAAAATCTATTTCATCTATGGTTTTAGGTTTATTTATAATAATATTTTATGACGTCAGGCATAATACTCTCACGTTTCAATAATTGGTAACTAAAATATCGTTAACATCATGTATGATGGTATCAATTATGTCACAATAAGCTATTAATAACTTTCAAAATCATAAGTTAGCATATGACATTTGAGTGAGCATTCGTTTCTGGCACAGACTAGTTTACGTTTACATACCAAAACATAGTAACACAAGTGGACACGCAGCTGGTTTCTTTCAACTCAAACCTGTGTACAAGTACCTGCAGCGGAAATTGACAACGTGACAGTATATCCGCTATCTTATTGGCGTGAATGGATAATGTATGACATGAATTACGACTCGTTCATGAACGGTAAGCATCGCCACTCACCCGTGTTTGGTAACAAGGAAGTGTAAATTTCATTGCTGAGTTTTTATTGGCAGCGCGGCGTATTTGCATTATTATAATTTTTACTTACATGATCGTCTTTCAGATATAGTTTTAGCTTATATCCAGGAAGAACATCGAATCTACTATTGACATCGGATACTGCCATTTCGATAGCTGGGACGACCCCAGCAGCAGACCATCCACCATCTGTATACACGGGCATTAAACCTGCTATAGCCAACTCGATATTTCCCGCCGTGTCACCGACTTCATCGAACGCAACGGTGTCGCTTCGCCCCTTGCCATGCAGAAACACTCCCACCAACAAAATCAACGAGAACTTTGTACGTAGCTTCATGAAGCGAACGCAATTGAACATGTGTTTTTGCTGTCAAAACATGAACTGATGATGGTTTCTGCTTTATGAATATTAAAACCGCATAATTGTATATGTAAATGAAATGACATATGATTGGTGGAATATTCCATCCAAGATTCTTCTTATTAAGTCTTGGACCAGCAACTAAATGTGTTATTATAATGATACCACTGCCTTCATAATATAAAAAAATGTTACATACACCAAATTGAGGTCACCTGACAATATTTAGGGCATGTCTTTCTGGTATTCTTTGTTTCAGTTTTTTTATTCATTGACGGGAAAACATTATGTAAATCAGCTAATTAGTTACCCAGTGCTCAGTATCATCAACTACTGTTTGTACATATCACTAAAACATGCTATATTATATTTACAATTGCATCTTCCTGCAAGCATGGAAGGTACTGCAAGGAAATAAATCAACACTCTGGTCGTTGTTTTATTTAAATATTTAAATTATTAGAATTCAAAAAACAAAAGCACAAGATCGATCACCACGCGTGTAGGATGCAAAGTCGTAAATATGTCAATGCTAGAATACGCAAAGACTCATGGTCAATGGTAGTTACCAATTAGTTTTTATAACCAATTGACGCGGGATTGGAAATAAATTCATACCTTCCTGGAAAATAGTTCTCATTATAGGTTTAATGACTATAGTTAGGACAGTGTAATACCTATAATATCACTAATACTAATTAAAGAAAATTGTAATGGATGCTAGATTTTAGCTTGAGTAATTTTTTGCATCAAAATTTTACTCAAGCACTCAACTGGCATTGAAAACAATTTTGAAAGATGTTAGAACCGATAAATACAACAATATAGACAAATGTAATCTTTGTCTTTGGTAATTATTCAATATAATCAAATGTTTCGGACACTGTTCCAGTGGTGCATAATCCCTTGACGTGGAGATATGTGAGGTCAAACTAACTCGTAATGATAACACGGTAATAGTTGATCTTCCTTTCCGCTAATAACAAATCAAACCTAGAAATTGATATGGCGTAAATGCATTTCTCTTGGAACTAAAATGATGTTTGTTTGGTCTAGGCGGATGGAAAAAACGGACCCCAGCTGACACTGTGGCATGTCCAGGAGAAATGAAATGAAATCAACATTAACATAACAGAAGTGAACATACGGAATTATTGCATCTTGTATTATTCACACAGTCCAATAATAAATTATGACATTTACAATAAACCATCGACTGTGATATTCGTTATAATTCTGTTTGCATAAACGTTAATTCCATGAGGGTAACCAGACAATCCTTCGTATAGTTGTATCATTGATTATTATCCATGTCGCCAATAGTGAAGCGTGTTTTCTTTTATTTACATAATCCGAAAGTCCGTAAGTAAATCATTTATTTGACTCTCAAATAATGAGTTTAAACCACGGCCATGTATAGATTATTTAATAAACCGTCTTTCCCAGTGTTATTATATTGTTAGAAAGCGGTGTCATTATAAAATTCACAAAGTGTGCTGTTATTGTCGCTGATTGCATTTCCTAAATTATTTAGTTATTTTGTTATTCTATTTTCACAGTCAAATGTATGTAATATGTTGATGTTTGCCGCGATATAATGAAAGTGTCGACACTATGTGTTAAACAAGCCTAGTCTTTCTAGTGATCCCACGAATACGGGGCAAATTACAAATTAATTATTAAATAATAAACATCACCAAATACAATATCGGATTATTACGACCTCATCTACTTTTCCCACTACACCTATAACCTAATACCGATTTATACAGGCTGATTCAACAAATAGTATTTGAACTGAAGCATATATCAGTGATTAACATATTCAATATCTCATATTGTATTGCTGATAGTATATGATCAATTTATCATACATCCATCATTTATATCCGAACCAGTGCTTATGTATTTTGAGTGATATTTCATAAGCAATGGCACCAGCTTGATTGCCAGTTATAAGTAAATTATTGGTAGAAGGCATATTGATATGTATGACCTTTTGCATTTGTGTTCTACACTTTCTGCTTAATTTATAGATGAAATGTATCGCTAAACATTGAAGGATGCTTTTTAAATAGATGATGAAGATAATAAGCCATGTTACTTATAAACAAATTATATTTCACATATGAAAGGTTGTATTCATATCATTGCTTGTGTTCATTAATATTGTCTCGTTGTCAATGTCCATTTATTATTTGTTATAACAAAAGCTTTAAGCCAATAAATCACTAACATTTGTAAATACATTTTCTGAAAGATTTTCAATAGCAGTGATTACTTCAAAGCATATGAGGTTATAATACATCAAAATAGGTACAAAGACAGTAGGTGATCGTATCACCCAGCGTTTAGCACAGGTCGACACTTTACGGTATTTTTTGTGATAATATTATTATTGCAGATCTTTTCTTGCTTGTAGAAATAATTTAGTAAGAAATAGTAGTAAAAATATTTGTGCCTACGCCATTGTTCACCCACGTGCTACATTGCTGTTCAGATAAATAGAGTTATCATTTCCTATTGAATTGGGACAATTTGGTGACAAGTTGTATCTTGACCGTGGACAGTTTTATGGGGAACAGCTAACACAACTTATTTTATTCGTAAGTGTGACTCCTTTAACAGGAAATGCATTAGTCTAGAGATCACGTTCCAACCGCTCATAACTGTGTGAACAATTCGTATACCATCCTATATTACGGAGGATAGTGTTAGGAAATGAAACAACCAACTTTGGCAGTCTGAATTTTGAAGCCAAAAATGACTATATTATATGTTATCGAATCAAAAATAATCATAAAAACGTGAAAAAACCAAAGACGTTTGGCAATATGAGTCTCCGTACCAAAATCCACAATTTATACATCTCTGATATGTTAACTGATTTACACAAGGGTGTTTACCTGTGCAGGTGAGAACACGTTACGTCGACATGAGGGGATTAAATATGGCGGAGGCATGCAACCGCTATCGACCATTCGCAAAAGGTGTTGTATGTGCATTGGCGTCCCAAAATGTTTAAACTGTTATATTGACGTGTATACGTTGTTAAACGCGTGCTTTGTTCTGATATATAGGTACCAACAAGAGATACGGTCAGTGTTTCGTACATAAGTTGTTATGTATGTATGACGTTTTACATGGCCCATTATCCAGTTGCCATATTTACGCTTATAGACATAACTTTTTCTAGTGAAAACACGGTAAGGCCTCCAAGCGTTCGGTGCATTGCCGACTCAGTGTGCGATATTCACATGTTATTAAATACATATTTTAATATGTTACTCATTAGAATGAAACATTAGAATTTTGTACATCAAGACTAAATGAAACAGTAGTATAGCAAACTAAAACCATAACTACTTTAGTAACATAAACAAAAACTGACTTTCTGTAATTGAATTGAACTCATTTATATATATGAAGCATATATATTTATTTTATTCATGTACTGTAACAAAGAGTTTGTATATTCCACAGAAAGTTATGGCATGTATTTTTAGAAAATTATACAATGACTGAGAATATACTAGAATGATCTCAACTGGACCATGACGTAATCATCCAGTGCGCGCTCATCAACTTGATGGTGTGCTTGAAGTTATTATTTGTTTTTTAGATATTTGTTTTCATTGCCATAAAATAACATATTAGTGTTTTCCTGTATCTTCGGTGAGTTGTGTTGTGTCTCTAATTAACCTTAATTTGTTATGCTAGTTCATAAGTACTTACCATGATGATAGTACTTGCAAGTAGCATTATTCTTATTTTTACCTTGATTGCGTTAATACTATATTGTGACAGTATTTATAAACATATGTATATAGTGAACAGTGAAATGTCAAGCAAAAGCCTTGTCAATATTTAATCTTTCATTACTGTTAATATTTTCCTTATTTCAAGCTAATCTACAGCGTAAAGCAAAACGTAAAGTTGTCTATTTATCCAGTACTACGAGTTGCCCAGAGCACTATCCACCTTACTCTGCATTGATTCAACATGTGCCACTTGTGAAGCATGCTGTGTGTATTTAGGTAAAGAGGTTTATGTGAAATTAGGAAACGAGTGGTCCAACCCATCGAAGTCTCGTAAAACCTACCGGACCGTTAATCTTTTTATAACTTACAAAACACCCATCGGTCTACATAAAATAGGACATGTCTTTTCAAATATATAGTGAAAATTTGTAAAAAATTGTATTTATTCTGTTTGGTACAAAGTGTGTTATATGTACTGACTTAAATGTCATAATTAGTCTTGTGTGATATATAATTACAACTCTAGTCACGTGAATAATGTGATACAACTATTGTAAACAATTATTTCTAGGCTTACGTGTAAACGTCGGATTTGCTATTACTTACGAGTCTATTTATCATCATTGTTTCACATTCCTTTGACAAATATGAATATATCGGATACAGCTAGTAAGTGATGATCTCTGCAGTGAACCTTTTATTTAGGTTAGAAGGACAATGGTGCGGATATATCAGGTATGCGTTGCTAATACGTAATGATGAAAAAACAAATGCGTAAAATAGTATAAGCTAGCTATCATAGCATTCGAAATGGACATCATAATCATCTATGTTATGCAAATTGTACATCGTGATGTACATTTCCTTGTGTTGCTTGTCATTTCAATTATGATGATGCAAATTATGGAAAACACACTGATGACGTGTGCATTTCCTAGTACACGTGGGAGATTACGAAAGGTTTAACCCTGAATCATGATTGATGACAATCATATTAATGATGTTTCATTTCCTAAGAGAGATCATCTTAATGTATTAACTTGCCCATAAAATGGTTCAGAGATAAGAGAGATAAAATGTACAGATTTGTTCATAATGAACATGTCATAAGGGGGTCCGTATCGTAAAGAACTTCATTTGGATACACTGGCTTGCTCGTTTTTGTTCAATTCACAATGGGGTGTATATTTAGAATGTGTAGCGATAGAGTTAGAAACACAATTACACAAGGTGACCATGGCATAGTTTACCATAATTATTAGAATCAGTAATTAAAGACACTGTCACAAATAAACTTCGAATATGTATTATTCCATATATACTAGTGTATTGTTAATTGCGTATACGTATGCCTAGAATGTGGAATGCAAATACCATCCTCAGTAATATGAGAGAAGAATTTTGTATTTAACATCTTCAACTGGTTGTTGATTGTAGATCAAAATTAAAAACATGCATGCATACATGCATTATTTCCCAATTATAATGACAGACGCTTTGTGAGTGTCAGTAATATACTGCAAAAGAAACATAGTGTTCCTCATTATTAGTTGAACTTCGATGACCTTGCCCTTTGTTATATATTATTTCCTTCATCATAGTTTGTTTTAATATGAATATACGTTGTCGTAAATAATTTTGAATAAAAACAAGTTTGGAGTTGAACCAACAGTCTACCGAATGTCCCTGATAGATGTAAATATCTTACAAAACATTGGTGCCTAATTTGTTATAAATGACACAATTTCCAGCTTTATTCAAAGTAATTCAGATTTTTTAGTATAAAAACAAATGTTTCATCTCACAAACAAGTACTGCATTTAGACGTGAATAGATTTGTAAAACAAGCAAGATAACAGAAAATCTTAGCTGGCTTAGTATTTCGTACAGGTGTCTGTCAAAAATGAATGATTCCCTGAGATAAATATGAACTGCCTTATTATATTCATTGTGTGACTACTGTATTATATGAAAAGAAAAAAAAATGAATAACTATAATGTTGCAAGCTCTGCTTTGTATGCGAATCAACTCATTAGTTAGCTGGTGTCCAGTGGAGAGAGAAGCCAAAAGTATTGTTGCTTCCTGAGATTCTACATCTTTAAACACTGTAATCTTTGTTTTTGAAGTGCGTTTTTAAATTAGTATTATATAAGGTCTATCATTCTGTTCTAATGTGTATCACCAGTGATCATTCAAGCCGAAACAGTCAAAATATTTTATCGAATTTTCTCAATTTGTGCATGATAATTTTACACAGGATGTCGTTCGAACTAAGGGAAGATTTTATATTGATGGATTAGGTGGCCAAGTTTGATAAAGTTTGCAATAGAATTAGTAAAGTTATTGTGCAAACATTAACAATTATTAACGACGACAACAACGCCGACGACGACAACAACGCCGACAGATATTTGTTTCCCTTAATATACCTTTCCCTTCCGTCATTGATGGTACGGGCAAGGTAAAAACTACACTTGACTTGACGTATTCATGAAGGGCGGTAGTTGGTGCCTAGCGGTCGATGTATTTTTCACACAGTGTATAGATCGTACGAGACCCGTGACAAACACGACGATCATCGCCCTCTAACACGTAATGTTAGTGTTTGACGTGTTTCCGACTATATGTATTATGTACACTAGTTCTGCATCGTACTCGTCCAAACAAGCAGAGCAGTTTACAAAACAATACTAGTATACTGAAAGGTGAGTGTGGCCTCGTTTCTTATTAAATTAATTTCCTAATGCCATTTACATGCACTTAATTATTCATTAATAATTATTTCATATCAATATATAATATGATTGTATATAATGTACTATTACAAGTCAATAACATAGTCCCGTAAATTATAAACAATGAACCATGTACTAGATAGATCATGGAAGGAATGCACCGGGTTTCATTCAAACTTCGTCGACAGCAGAGCTAAAAACTTGACACGGATGACGACACCGACGGACAATCACTCATATGAAAAGTATTATTAAAAATATTATTGCAAATTTTTGATGAGTAATCCCACATTTGGAGTGCATGCATTGTTGCCGCATAGTGTACAAGTGTAAAAATACACAATTTCATCGTTGTGTTAATCCTTGTCGTTCACTGGGCCTGTTATCTGTTCTATAAATCAGTGTGAATGCTGAGAACTAAAAAGGGATTTTTTTTATTTACTTTATGTATGCACAGAAATAGTGTATCACCAGTTTCACCACAAATTGAATTATTGCCGATTTTCTCCATCTATACATTAGAGTTCTATCGTGTGCATTAGACACAAAATAAAAAATTCTGACCTCTGAAGATGCTAGTTTACACAAATAAAGTCACGAATCCATGAGAAAATAATATACTGCAAATTGGATAATGTTTAGAATTGCATCAGGTGATTTATGTGACCTGCAGCTCTTCAGCATAGTTACTAAGCAAGTACGCAAAAACATGATAACATTGGAAATTGACACATATCAACATGATACAAAAGGGCATATTTCTCATGCACAAATGTTAGCATATTTTACAACAGATAATTTGTGTTATCTCCCACTAAATATGCAAATTTCCCCAGAGAGATCTTGTATCTGCTTCCAAGTACCCTTGCTTGTCTTTTACAACCTCTAATTAAATGTTATGATGTAGTAAATTACTTGAATGAATTCTATGAATTATGAATTCTTTGATAATTGACTCAATGGCAGCCACAGGGATGGAACCCCAAGTGTATTTGTTGAGTGACATTACGTCCTTGGACAAAATAAAAGATGGGAAATTATTGATTAATAGGTCCCATAACTCAAGCTACAACGTCAAAGTGCATTAAATATTTGTACCACATGAATATCTACAGCATCATATACAGCACAGATCTGTTTCATTACAACAAAATAGTTGATTGTCAAGTTCATACTCTTTTCAGAATTTTTTCTGAAATACAAAAATGCATGAGAATGAGATATGAGCAGCTCCACCAAAATTAAAAGTATTTTTTCCACCAAATTTAAAGGAAAAACAGCATTGACAGATTGTTTTAAGTCACACATCAGGTGTCAATCAGACACATAATATTTGTATGTAAGTATTGTAGCAAATAAATATATTGCAACTAAGTTGCCATATTACAATATCTGTATAAGCGCAATGTATGGAAGCCAATAATCTTGGCTCTGATTATATATTAATGGCATCAACAGTTTTGTATGCATGTGTTCTTTTAATATTGGTTGTACAGTCATTGTTTGTTTGCTATACCAATTAGTTGATTCCCATGAAATCGATGATGACCTTGCAGCTGTCAAATTGAATGAAAGCTTGCTTCTTTATTATAGGTTTATAATGGAGACTAATGCATGCATTAACAAGGGTAATGCATGTAGTCATTTTTTATAATAAAACTGTCATGAGAAGACAGTGTATTTAGTAT